ACCAGATGAGAGCAACGCCCGTTATTTTCATGTGGTTATTGCTGGCCCCCGGGATTCCCCCTTTGAGGGAGGGACTTTTAAACTCGAACTATTCCTTCCAGAAGAATACCCAATGGCAGCTCCTAAAGTACGTTTCATGACCAAAATTTATCATCCTAATGTAGACTAGTTGGGAAGAATATGTTTAGATATTTTGAAAGGTAAGTGATATTACCTTTATCATCATATGCTATTAAGATTTCTCTAGTAAAACTCCATATTTAAAATGTAAACATTGTAATCTGGCCATTTACAAAGACCCCAGAGGTCAGTGGGAGGGAAATGCAGTAACTCTGGGCCTATTGTCTCATGCTTCATCATGCTGGGCCTGTTGCCTTCATAGATAAATGGTCCCCAGCACTGCAGATCCGCACAGTTCTGCTATCGATCCAGGCTTTGTTAAGTGCTCCCAATCCAGATGATCCATTAGCGAATGATGTAGCGGAACAGTGGAAGACCAACGAAGCCCAAGCCATAGAAACAGCTAGAACATGGACTAGGCTATCTGCCATGAATAATATTTAAATCGATCCGATCATCAAGTGTGCATCACTTCTCCTGTTCTGCCAAGATTCTTCCTTTTTTGTTTGCATTTAAAGGACACAGTCTTAGAAACATTACAGAATAAAAGCCCAGACATCTTCAGTCCTTTGGAGATTAAATGCACATTAGCAAATCTATGTCTTGTCCTGATTCACTGTTGTAAAGCATGAACAGAGGCTAGAAGTATCATCTGGATTGTTATGAAACGTTTAAAAGCAGTGCTCCCTCTCTGCTTTTATTCATTTCCCCCATCATGGTTTAAGTATAAAGCACTGTGAATGAAGGTAGTTGTCAGGGTTAGCTGCAGGGGTGTGGGTGTTTTTATTTTATTTTACCTTTTATTTTTGTGGGGGGAGGTAGTTTTATTTTAATTTTATGGGCTCCTTTCCCCGTTTTTATGGTGATCTAATTGCAGCTAACCAATTCTTTAGAATATCCTCTCTAGCCAAGTCTAACTTTATTTAGACATTGTAGATGGACAAGCTTGATTGTTTGAACCAAAATGGGAACATTAAACAAACATCACAGTCCTCACTAATAACATCGTGACTTTGCTGTCAAGTGTAGATTTTTCCCCCCTTCAAAAAAAAGCTTGTGACCATTTTGTATGGCTTGTCTGGAAACTTCTGTAAATCTTATGTTTTAGTAAAATATTTTTTGTTATTCTACTTTGCCTTTGTACAGTTTATTTTACTGTGTTTATTTCATTTTCCCAATGTGACAATCGTATTTAAAAATTAAAACTCTAATGGAAGATTCTGTTTTGGTCTTCACCATCTGACAGATTGAATACCACGAGGTGGATTTTGCCAGTTTCTTTTCACTGATACAAATTCTTGTTAAGATATTACTGAACAGAGTAATATATAAAACTGGCCCTGAGCATGCATAAAGCATCAATATCTGACCCTTTTTTACCTCCTAAAAATTTGAAATAAATGTGTTTGTGTGTTGTCTCATGAAAAAAAAAAATTCTGTTCTCAATAATACCATCAAAGTTACTATTCTGCTTTATCCCTCTATACACAACATAGACTTAGAATAACAACCCCAGTATCATTGCTAACAGTATGATTACTGAAAATAGTTTATGATAATTTGCATATCTTTTTTTGTCCTTGGAGTTTATCTCAGTGGGGATGTAGAGTCATATTACTGTAGGTTAGACTCAATTTAACATTCCTTTCTACGTGAGTTTGCCTTTATGTAAATATGCATTGACATTTATTCATTCAATTTTACTTTTATTCTTTAGGAATTAATTTTTCAAATTTTTGTTTTATGATTAGGTAAAATATTTATATGGTTCCAAAGTCATATCTACAAAACAAGGTATAGTCAAAAAACTGTAACTACTACACTTATCCCCTCTACCTTATCCCCCCCCCAAGCATAACTATGTTTGTTGTTGTTGTTGTTGTTGTTGTTGTTGCTGCTGCAGTTTGGCCGGGGCTGGGTTTGAACCCATCACCCTTGGTATATGGGGCCACCCCCCCTCACTGAGCCATAGGCGCCTCCCATAACTATGTTTTTAAAATGTTGTGGCAGTGGTTCTCAACCTTCCTAATTCTGCGGCCCTTTAATACAGTTCCTGTGGGTCACAACCCACAGGTTGAGAACCACCGTGTTATGGTTTTCTCCTGCATTGTTATGTTGTATCATTAATGTGTATCATTAATATGTCTGTGGGTCTATTTTTTGGTATTTAGGAAGGTTCATATTTATATTCTAACCATAACCTTTATACTAATACCTTTACTTATTATTTTCATAGCTCTTTTTGTTTTGTTTTGTTGCTGTTGCTTATTGATTTCTACCATGAGCAATGCTGAAATTAGCAATTTTGAAGTTAACCTCTTCCTTTCCTTTCTTCTCCTTCAACATCTAATTTGAAGTAATAACATTTTATTCCCAATTAATACTTATATGACAATTAGTTCAATCTGTTGTTCATAAACTCACCCTAATCTTCCCCCAGTTTTTGCCAGTTGCCCTTTGTGATACTGTCATAACATTCAGCCATTATACACCATATTTACACATATCTTTATAATCTTCACTTGGATTTAGTTAAACAAACAATAGATATTAAACCTCCCTACAAGTCTTCATGTCTTGTCAATATCTATCTGGTCCTTCAGTTGTCTAAAAGTCATTCATTAGTAGGATCCTTAGGAAAGGTTTTTGACATATTATTTCTTGAATTTTTTCATCTTCCAAATAATTTGCCTGGTGCCTTTATAATTGAATGTCAGTTTGATTAGACATAAACTCGTTCCTTCACATTTTATTTTCTCTCCTGACATAAACCATTACTGCCAAGGAAAGAAAATTGATGGTAATTTAATTTTCTTTCTCTAAGAACTGTCTTGGTCCTTTTATCTAAATATTCAAAAGATTTTTTTCATTACATTCTGATAATTTTTACAGTAATATGTCTCAGTAAAATCTGTTTTGAGTCATTTTCCCACATACACACATCATTTCCTTTTAAGGTGTCAATTTGAGTTTTAAAATAAGTTTTCTTGAATTATACCTGTTAGCACTTAATCTTTTCCATTGACTGAGTTTTTTCAGGAACTTCCATTATAGATGTATTTTAATTTGTTTATCTTTTTAAACTTATTCCCTCAAATTCTGATTCTTCATTTCTTTTTTATTTTAAATTTTTTCCTCCTTTTAATTTCCTTTAAAAAATAAATGTGTGCTTATTTTCTCTTGTATCCCACATAGTTTAATTACTGAAATACTTTTTAAAATTTCTAATTCTGCGGTAGTTACATTACCTCTATTTTCAGATAAGAACTCATTTCTGAGTTCTACAATTAAATTATTCTTTCATAGATTTTATCACTTTCTTACCTTATTTTAACTTCAAAATTTCAGGTTATGGTT